GCGACCCTCAGATTGCGAGTCGACTGCCCTAACCACCTGGCCATGCCGGGCCGTAACGATATGCAACAGCAAAATCGGCAACTTTTCACGTGGCAGTTTCCAGTTAATAACGCTGAAAATGCACCAGTTGTAGTTTACAAAACGCGCACGCTAGAAAAACACCGACTTTTTTGATGGCGGAAAGTGAAGGAACGAAATTAAGAAGGTCGAATTAAGTTTAAAACTACTTTCAGTTTTTTGCAAAATTCCTGTGCGATCTCACACTAGAGTAGATATCACTTGCAATAATGATACAGTGGAGTCATAATAGGGATCTTAGCTTGAATAAACTGTTAGCAGTAGATCCCCAGCCTTGTTTGTTTACTTTTTTCCGAACCCTAATTGTAGATTTTAAATCCTCAATTTTTAATTATCTTATATGTTGATTTTTTAAATGCACCACAATGGGCAATATATGTCTAGAGAAAGCACAACCGCCACTAAGCACGTATAAAATTTTACCAGTAGAAAAGCAGCCTTTTCAAATAAAACTAATACATCTAAAACATCGCTTTACTGAGCCAGGTGACTTTGCGCCTGACGTTTAGTGTAAACACACGTCGAGTGCAAAAACAACCACTCAGAAAAACATAGCAACTATTATGTATTTATAACCACGTAAATCAACTTTCAATGAAAAACAATCAACTTTAGATATGCCATGGACATTTACAGCGCTTCATATAGTATATCTATCTAGGTTTTGGTGCAAAATACCCAGCCAATTTTGCTATAGGCTTGTGAAACAATAATGTTATTAATAAGAATAATGACATGATCAAATGAGCGAATTTTTATTTTGTCTAGAATTTGGAAATCAGTTATTTTGCTTATTATCAATGTGTTGGGCCCCCCAGTGGCACAGCGGTATGTCTGCAGACTTACAACGCTAGATTCCGGGTTTCGATACCCGTGGTGGGCAGAGCACAGATAGCCCATTGTGTAGCTTTGTGCTTAATTACAAACAAACAAACAATGTGTTGATGGTCTTAACTATTGAAGGGAAAGGTTTTGAGTGTTGTTTCATGAATAAGTTTGCTTTTTAAGGTGGTTTTTGCCCGAATGTTCTATTATAGTTTTGAGCAAATTCCTGTGCAATCCCTATTATGAACCATTGCCGTGGTTCATGATAAAAATTAAATATTCTTAATCATATATATATAGAAACTAAATATTCATCTCAATGAATTGAAAAGTTTAAATAATTCCGAAAATCATGTCATTTATGGTCTAAAGTTTTGAACAGTCTTTTGGTTTTGTTATTATTTCCCAATTTAAGAATTTTCGCGTAAATTTACTCATAGACAGCACCCACCACAGACTCTTAGATTACTTTTGTCAGACTAAATAGTGAAAATTGATCGTCATTCTCATAATAAAATCACGGTCCTAAAGTACAGTGCTCTTACACTAACGGGAAGTGAATCCTGAAACCTGGATCTACAGTCTGGTAGCACTAGCCATTAAACCATGCACGGCCCATTCTATTATTGTCATCGTGCTAAAATCGCTTGATATCTGTTTTTATATGGTTTAAATTTGGGGTAATAATAATAAATAATATGCAAGGTGAAGATAATGTATTGTTGTTGTTTTTTTTTAATTTCGCGCAAAGCTACACGAGGGCTATCTGCGCTAGCCGTCCCTAATTTAGCAGTGAGGCAGCTAGTCATCACCACTCACCGCTAACTCTTGGGCTACCCTTTTACCAACGAATTGTGGGAGGGGAATTCGAACCCGCGACCGTCAGATTGCGAGTCGAGTGCCCTAAATATAATAATATTCAAATATAATTAATAATGTAAACTCCGAGCTTAGAGTAGAATTAGAAGAAAAAAATAATATCCAATTAGTATTAACTTGCTTGAGGTATTTTAGTTATAATGTAAAAAAATACATAAATTAAAACTACAAGAAAGTAAACCATATTTATTATAGTCAACCTTCAACCGAAGGGTAAGAACGTATATGTTTTGCTGAATTATGTTGATAGAAGAGAAAGTTATTTAACCAAAATTATGGGTTTTCTGAAACATGTTTTATTAAAAAATTATAAAATCTAAGTAATATAGGTCAAAATTGTACTTAAAAATAAGCTAATAAATAAAAAGTAAGAAAAAGAAATATGTAATTAAAGTTTGTTTTAAAATATAAAAAATACAGCATAAATACAAAGTTGATTTTTGACATGTATTTGACATCAAGCTTTCTTTAAAACTGAAATAACTATATATACATACACACAGAGATATAGAAATGTATGTTTATCATTATAGATATCTAAAAATCTATATTAGACATTTAAAACCGCTCTTAATTTCAGAAACTGCTCCAGTGTTATTGGAAACTTTTATCGACCAGACCCTGAAACCAGGACCAAGCGTATCTCTTCACTGTACGGCAACTGGAACTCCACTTCCTCAAGTCACGTGGTCTCTGGATGGTTATCCTGTACCAGACAATGACCGTGTACGCGTAGGAGACTACGTTAGCCGTAGTGGAAGCGTAGTTAGTTTTGTCAATATCAGTAATGTTCAGGTTGAAGATGGCGGAAGTTATGAGTGCATTGCTAGAAACGACGTTGGCAGTATGCGTCACTTTGCCCGTTTAAATGTAGTTGGAAACCCAATAGTGAAACCTATGCCAGTTAAAGTTATAGTTTCAGGAGAAAATGGTGTTCTTCAATGTCGAGTTGCTGGATATCCAATCGAAAACATTTTTTGGGAAAAAGGTAGGATTTGATAAATTAAACTAATTCTCTTCGACATTCGAATGGTGGATGTTTAAAATAAAATAATGTCGTTTTTTTATGTCTATTTGAAGGTATTGACGTACTGAGTAATTTAGTTCCATAAAGTTGATTGGCTCCTTAATTATTTCATGAATGTATGAAATAAACACAAGTTTAGCAAAAACTCTAGGAACAATTCTATAATTATTTTAATATAATTTCCTTTTGAATAATAACTTGTTGTTTTAAATTTTTTCAGATTTGAAGTGAAGTCTTCTAAATCTACCAAAGAGTTCATTTGAAATAATTCCTGTAACGATAACATGGTCATTGATGACGAGGAACCCACTTTGAGACTAATAATGGTTGGAGACGGCTTGAATGATGACCTGATGATGACAAAACCTTGTCGAAACGTTGTACATTTGCTGTTATGTTAAACTTATATTAAAGTTTTTCTTCGTTACCCATTCAAGCCGTCTCTAAGCATTATTAACATGGTCATCGCTTCAAACTGCGTGAAACTCAAGATAAATAAATAAATAAAAACACACAAGAAAGTTATGGAGCAATACTGCTTGTAGTAATATCAGTCTGTGGCAATATCTGCCTGTAACAGTACTGCCTGTAGTAATATCTGCCTGCAGCAATACCACCTGTAGCAATATCAGTCTGTAGCAATACTGCCTGTAGCAATATCAGTCTGTAGCAATACTGCCTGTAGTAATATCTGCCTGTAGCAATACTGTCTGTAACAATATCTGCCTGTAGCAATATCTGTCTGTAGCAATACTTCCTGTAGCAGTATCAGTCTGGAGCAATATCTGCCTGTAGTAATATCAGTTTGTAGCAATACTGCCTGTAGCAATATCAGTCTGTAGCAATATCTGCCTGTAGCAATGCCGCCCGTAGCAATATCAGTCTGTAGCAATACTGCCTTTAACAATATCAGTCTGTAGTAATATCTGCCTGTAGCAATACTGCCTGTAGCAATATCTGCTTGTAGCAATACTGTCTGTAGCAATATCAGTCTGTAGCAATACTGCTTGTAGCAATATCTGTCTGAGACAACTTTTTCACTTCACAACTATTTTCTAAACGAAAATCTCTCTCTCTCTCTCTGTTAATTAAGAAAAGGTTAACAATACTTAAATTACTTAGTCCAGTGTTGATGCTATGTAACACGCGCGTCAAAAGTTCCCAATAATGTAATTTATATTTGCGAGAATAAAGTTTCTAAAGTTTTGTAAATATAAACAAAACCCACTTCTTCGGACGTATTATTTACACTACTTCAACTTTAGGTTAATTAAGGTCTAATGGATTTGTTGTCATACTATAATAGTCCAACTTGAAAAATATACAAGTAACAAGTGAACAGATTTAAATAACAGATGATAATGCTGTAACAATGTAATAACTTAAAGTATAATACATTAGTATATAAAAATGAAAATTTTCAACACTGTGAAGGGGAAATCTGTATAATTTATATTTGATTTCACACTAAAATTTAAACTACTTTATAGTCATAAACTTAAGATCATCTGATCATTAAATTGAATTTTATTTTGTTATTAAAAAGCTTCGATTGTCAAACGTGAATGCGAAGACTAGTTATTTAAAGAATTGAGATTCTGACTTACAGTGTTCATAAAATGCTTCTATTGTTTTCAAATACTCCACTGCTACTAAATGGTTACACTAGATAAGTTTGAGTGACGTCATTCTGAGATAATCTTCATATTCATATCTAAACATATCACTTTCTTAATTGGACATATATCTACTGAAATATTTTTTTTTATAACGAAAAGTAAATATTTATGATTTAAAATTTTTGTATGAGAGTTAATAACTTTCATAAGAATTGTAACTTTGTATATGGGGTTTCCAGGTCAAGATTTACACGTATATGTTTGTTGACCACTACACACACTATGTATTACTGGAAACTTCGTGTGGCTTTTGAAGAACAATTTAGTTAACTCATGGAAAAGGCTGAAGGAGTTAAATTTCAAAATAAAAATGCATTAACTTTTAAAAACTGTACTTATTTTCAACTCAAAATATTAATTCATTGGAATATCAATTATAGTGAATAACTATTACAGAACTTTTTAATTCAAGGTTAAAATAACAAAGCATTTCGGTGAGATCATTTTAAAATAATAACTTTTGATTAAGGCAACTGCTTCCAACTATGATATATATTATCTAACAACAGGTGCATATGAATTCTATGTCAACATTTAAGAAGTTTTGACGTATTGGGAGTAAAGATGGTATGTGAAAAGAGGCATGTACACTGAACAGTTAGTTTGTGTATTTTCAAATAACAGGAAACCAGTGATAGCGAATGAAACAAACACTAGTTTTTGTGTTTTGTAACTAAGTGAGTTATATCCTTTAATGCTAGTTTCATTCATATTACTTTAGATATATACCATTTTCAATATATCTATCTATATGTTTCATTATGAGGATTGTTGTGGATTATCGGCTTAGTATATGTTGCAGAACTAATCTTAAACTTCCTGAGCTGGCCGAACTTCGTGAGATATAATTGAGATTACTGCCTCCCACAGCGTGAATACCCAAGTGATCAATGAATGCATTCTAATAATTATAAGTAATAACGGTGTATTCAGTTAGCTATACACATTACTGGGTTCAGTTTTAGTTTCGATCTACGCTGATAGTTTGCTTTGATTAGAAGTAAATGATATTTAACACTTTCGTTTGCAGAAAGTTTCAGTTTTGTGATAGAAAAATATAAATAGTGATAGCATTTGTAATCAGAAATGTAATCACTCACTTTTTATAGCAAGATCCTTATCATGATCAGATGAGAACCGTAGTTTCAAGCAATATTAGTTCTTATTGGCCGTAAATCTCTATTAAGGAATGCTACCTAATAAAGCTAACTTTTGGACCCTAATTCGTAAATAGTAAATGGAAATGCGCATTTCCTCTCATTACGAAGCAAAAACACACTATAGAATCAGCCAAGGACTGCAATTTTGAGCAGTATCAGCTACTGTTAACTCACTGATTCCATGTAAGGGTTAAATATACATATATATATCAACCTACAAATAAATAAGAATACAATTTTTAAGTCATGTTATTTTCATGTTCAGTATAACTCGCAAAATACCTTGAAAATAACAATAATTAATTTTAATATTGGAATTTTTTGTAGATGGCCGTCTACTTCCAGTTAACCGTCGCCAAATAGTGTTCCCAAATGGTACTGTTTTTATCCAAGAAGTTCAGAAAACAAAAGACGATGGTGTTTACACGTGCACAGCAACCAGTGACCAAGGAAATAGAGCCTCTGGTGATGTAGAAGTGAAAGTAAAATGTAAGCCTTTATTTTATTTTTATTTTTAAATTTGTTAAATTCTGACTGAAGAATATCTTGACACTTTCCTTCAAACGACCTTCAACTCCAGATTTACACTCGCACCAATATTCTAAGTTATGTTTTGTCAGGGGTGAGATAATGTATAAAAACTAAGCACAACTACTATAAAATTAGGCTTACTTTCTTTCTAGAGTTGAATGTCGATTTTTTTTTAATATGCAAACCTACATAGTACTATGTTTTGGTTTGGAAATTTAGCGTTAGATGTTGTCTTTCTTCTTTGTTTTTTCCTAAATCCTGAACATTCGTGAAATATGGAAATATGGAATAACTTCACATTGTCGAAAGAGAAAAAAACGAACATTGCCAGGCCCGTGCGCAGAGTTTTTGAAAAGAGGAGGGGAGGTCTAAGTTGTGAGATCAAAAGCCAACACATATTGTGCGAACCACAATCAGCAAAGCATGCTAATCTGGAGGCAATTTTGCATGAAATATAGATTAAACAATTGCATGGCTGTTCAGATAAAATCCACAAACATCAAATAAAGAGTCAACAAACATTTGTACATACGTTTGACTTTTTATAATATATTATTTTCAAACACGTGGACTGAGTTGCTATTTGTGTATTATTGAAATTTATCGCCAACAAGGCACAGACACCTACTACAAAGAATCCGGCCAACAAAACCTGACAGTAGCAATACGGCTTCGGGTTTCCAATTACAAAGTGTCAACAGAAGCCATTGCATGCGACTATTTCAAGCCAAAAAATGCTAATGCTTCATCAGAAGAATGTAGACTATCATAAGAAGCTGCTATATAACTATATGAGCAATAATTTTTTACATCACAAAAATAGGGGGTTCGGTCAAACCCCCTCGAATCCCCCCCTGCGTACGTACGTGATTGCTTAAGGTTGACAAATTGTTCAGCATTCAGCATTTTCACATTTTTTTATTTCTCTTATTTTTGGTCATGCTATTTGAGTATTTGAATTTGAATTTTGGAAATATATTTAAAAGTAGAAAAGCATACATACTACTGTTGTGCCCTATCTAAGAAACTGGTGGGATAACGTTACTATCTGAACTCGTTTGTAGTATATTTATGATGCCTTATAAAGACAACATGTAAGTTACAAAGCATGGTTACACGTTGCTACTTAAAGTTTTGACAAACTGTGTTAAAGAACAAGGGAAATAGTGAAAGGCATCTGTTTTTGTTTTTACTTACAGTGAAACCCGTCGTTTTGCCATTTATCTTCCCTGTAAACATAGAGAATGGGATGAAACTGAGTGCAGTATGTTCTGTAGCTGCAGGGGATCCGCCAATTAATGTGTCCTGGCTCAAAGATGGTGCTCCCCTGGTAGCGACAAATGACATCACAATTAAGACACTGAGCGAGGACTCTATGCTCCTGGCTATTGACAAAGTAGGACTCCAGCACAGTGGTGACTACACCTGTGTAGCTAGCAATGACGCGGGAGCTGTAAATCTTACCCGTCCTTTATCTGTTCACGGTAGGGGAACAATAGATTAACATATGTGACACTTAAATGGTCTAGATTTTTAACTTATCAATTCTTAATAAAGTAATGAAATCAAGTTTGCTAGCGGTATAGTATTAATTTTCGTAAAAGGAAGCTTCCTGAAGCGATGTGAATGTACTGAAGATATTAATTATAATGATGAAGAAATGGAGATTGTTTAACTTATTTCTTCTTTAAAAGATGGACTGGTGGTTATTATACTGTGTGTTAAATTTTAAGGTAGGAATGATCATTAACTGTTTCAGATATTTCCAAAGTAGAATAATTGACAAAGAAATTATACTGGTCCATCTGAGAGGTTTATCGGAAATGTATTTCCATTTGTGGAAAGAAAGAGTTCAGTTTTTGACAAAATTCGATTCATTAGACTCATTGTAAGACCTGTAACAAAATTAAAACAAAGCCATATTTATTTATTTATTTATTTATTTATTTTACTTCTTAAATAGTCCAAATTTCTCTCGTACATCATCTTCAAGGTACTATATTATTTTGTCCCATAATGCTCACATAGTTTTCTTGACCGTTTAGCTCCGTATTTCAACCTTTCCCCAAGTTATTTTGCTTAGATATTTTGATTACGCCATAAAGCACTGTATAAATATTTTTTGTGACAGTTGAAAATTAGTTTGAACATTCGAAATAGTGTATTTTTTATTATGGCAAATGATAAGAAAATGTCGTATACATTTTTGTTTTACATATAGTAATTAAAGTTCTTCGTTTGAAATACCTAGTACCACCATCATGGCGTATAGAACCCAAAGACGCCAGCGTAATTGTTGGACACAGCATCACTCTAGATTGTCAGGCAGACGGCTTTCCCCCACCTAGGGTTCGTTGGGAAAAAGCAAAAGGTAAAATTCCGGTTGTAATTATTGTATATATTCTAAGATTCCTTGTTCAGTTTGTATCTTTATACTATATAGCAGATCTTAGCTTCTATAATCCAAAAAGTTGAAAATGGATTAAAAGTGTTTAAAAAACACCTCTACCTTGCATACAGTTAGTTATACCAATATCTATTAGCTGCATTATTTTCTGGACTTTTATTTGATACTATTGGTCTATGTAATTAGCTTGCTTTGGTAAGAAATTATTGATAAACTTGCGACAAAATAAATGACAAGGTCAGGTGGTTAGGGCGCTCGCCTCGCAATCAGAGGGTCGCTGGTTCGAATCCCCGTCACACCAAACATGCTCGCCCTTTCAGCCATGGGGGGTTATAATGTGACTGTCAATCCCACTATTCGTTGGTAAAAGAGTAGACCAAGAGTTGGCGGTGGGTGGTGATGACTAGCTGCCTTCCCTCTAGTCTTACACTGCTAAATTAGGGACGGCTAGCGCAGATAGCCCTCGTGTAGCCTTGAGCAAAATTGAAAAACAAACAAATGACAAGGTTAGTTGTTTTAGCAAACATTTTGGTAGTTTGAATGCATTTACAAGCTTTTCAAATATTTTCATTGAGTTTAACATAATAAATATCGATCATTTAGTGGCCCAGTAGACTAATGGAAAGTTTACGGATTTTAACACTAAAATCGAGGGTTCGACTTTCCATTACGGTGAGAACGCAGATACCACATTGTGTACCTTTGTGCTAAAACAACGAAAACAAACATCAATCATTTATGACTCAAGAATATTTTGAAAGAGAATAATTAACGCACAGAAGCAAGGCTCGCTCTTAGCGCCTGTTACGCAGCTTATAGCTCACGACATGTTATGTCACTTCTTGGTCACGCACCGTATCATATGCTGTGCACCTTTGTAGAAACAGTTGAGATGAAATCACGAAATCCGTCATTGCTTCCGGTTTAGTTTTCGTTTGTTTGTGCTAACTGAAAGATATTATCGTGACAGGTGGTCGTCGATGTGCTGTGGCTGTTTGTTCTAATTGCGATATACATAGTAACGCCAAGTTTCATAAATTTCCTTCGAAATGTGAACAGTTGCTTAAAACTTGGTTTGTTAGATGCAAAATAACAGATAAATTTGATCCATGCAATAATAACAGTCGTGTGTTCGGACCACTTTAGTAGTAATGATTTTGAGAAAGATTTAAAAGCTGCACTACTTCGTTTCAAAAGCAGACCAATATTAAAGCCAAATGACATTTCCTTCTCTCTGATTTCTGTCGTCATCGAATACAAGAAATGTAAGTGATAATGTAGTCATAAATGATATCATCTGATTAGGGTTCTCAAAATGGAACCGACATTGAGACACGTCATCAAAGTTCTTCTGATTAAAATCAAAACAATTTAGGGACGGAACTTAAAGCTACCATTGAAAAGCAGAGAAAGATAATAAATGAAAAAAAAAAGACACAAAAATATCTGCTTCAAGAGCAAGGATATCTTTATTGCAAAACGATAGAAGAAGGATTCGAACTCTAAACGCTGCAAACAAGATACCAAATTATCAAGAACTCAGCAAAATGCTACGGAAAGTAATACACTAAGGTGAAAAGATCCTACATATATATATATAAATATAATAGTACTGTTTGTTGTCTGTTGTATGCCCATGTAACTACTTCGCAGTGTGTGGATGGATCTTCACCAAAATTGGTATGGAGGTTCATTAAGTCCATACGGGTGTACATACAAATTTTTAGTTTTGCATTTTGAGATTTTTATGGGCGTTTTTGCGTTTTATACCACTACTTCGCCTCCTTTATATGGATCTTCACGAAATTTGGCATGAAGGTTTGTTAAGCCCATGCGGAAATACATGCAAATTTGTAGTTTCACATTTTGTATTTTGCGGTTTTTATGGACGTTTTTGCATTTTTTACTATTACACATAAGGGAAGCAAGTTTTCATGTCCTAAGATAACCTTTCATTAATCATGAATTTACATAACGTCCGTCCAAAGGACGGGTACTCCAGCTAGTCGTTCAATAATCGAATATTTCAGTAAGATTACTTATCTTAAAACTAGGTAATTACACGTGATATCACTATGCAAGTTAAACAATATGCTGCCTATGATGTCTAAAATGTGTCTTTACGATACGAGGTGAATGAAATCGATGGATGCACGATTCTTTCACGAAATGATTGCTTTAGCAACCTTTATTACTGTATGTCCTTTAACTACAGAAGTTCTGAATCACAATGTGAAAAATGAAAAATATTAATAATGGGGGCTATCTCGTACATACGACTTATTTGGTACGTAAGAGATAATGCCATTATTTTTTGTTTTTTCACCTTGCGGTTCAGAACTTCCGTATTTAACACTACGTAACATTTTCTAAATTTTAAATTTCTGTTCCTGACAATCAACTTGCTTTTTCGTCTTTAGGAAGATTCCTAGCTCGTGCGGCTTGCCTGGATTTTCTGACCAGAATATTGGTTGGCGAAACTAAGTTTATATTATAGTATGTATTATTATTATTTTTGTAGTGCAAACGTTCTATTCAGTGTTAAGTTAGTGTTGTACTATTCAAAAATTTAAACAGTTGCCACCATGTGTGTTTGGCATCTGTCCATTATTGCAATTAATAAATGCAAATTGGCCAAGCACAGACGTAATTTTCCAGCAGCCAAGCACAAGTACCGCTTTGTTATCTAATAGTCTTGGCGGAGAAGAGTCGTTAAGTGTATTTTTAACTTCGTTTTGAATAATTTATTTTGAAAATAATGAAAACATCGTAGGAGATACAAAATCAATCGCGTATTTCGAAAATAAATCAAAGGGGAATGGCATCTAATTCCTTGTAGTAACATGTGTACATTTATGCCTTTTCAATTATTTTATTCTATATTTTCTTGTACGTACTATATACATTCTTTTACAGTTTATGGAGTTTAATATTAAAAGTTATGTTTTTTATGTGAAAAATGCTAACTTGCTAACCTTGTTAATTCTAGAGGGTAACCGTTGGGACAAGTTTAATAGCATATAAAAATATGACGACCTCTTTGTTCCATACTGTATGTTTTCTCCTGTGTCTGTGTAAACTACTTGTACCTGATGATGACATGAACTACATTTGTAATAAAGTTTCTTTCACTATCTACTCAAGCCGTCCCCAAACTTTGATATAGAAAAATGTTTTTCATTGAAATAAACCACGTGACTTATTTCAAATTGTCACCTTCACTGAAAGTCATATAAAATTTTCAGTCTTAAAATCTTTATGACTGCTTAAAATGTATAATATATAAGTTCCTGAACGGTAGGATTAGGGAAAGGAATGTGTGTGTACCTCAAATAAAATATATGTAACTGAATTATAAAACCTCTGGGGATGTGGTTGTCACATCTAAACATTTTTATCACCTGACCTCTGCTATTCTAGGGATGTGGTTGTCACATCTAAACATTTTTATCACCTGACCTCTGCTATTCTAGGGATGTGGTTGTCACATCTAAACATTTTTATCACCTGAGTAAATGTTTATATTTTTCGGACTTGCATAACGTCACATCCGAATTATATTATCCGAGGAATGTTTACATTCTTGGGATTGTAATGACATAATGTCCAAACTGTTTTATTATCCTTTGAATGCTTGCGCACATATAAAGGACACTGTATCACTATACTCAACGTCTCTTTTTTAAATCAATTAAAGGCTTAGAAAAGAAGATTTTTTTCAATTTCAAAAGGGGGATGTATAAGCTCTCGAAATATTATCCTAATAGAGTGGATGAAACTTACTGTAATATATTTTCACAATAGTTTGCACCTTTTCAAAAGGCGCTGGAGAGCGGAGATGATCTATATTGCAGGTAAAAACCAATCACACATACTCACGCTCGGATATGATCTGTGATCATAATAAATATAAAATTTGTTTTTTTAGATTTTCAAACCGTATGTTTTTAAACTATATCTTATGAAGACAAAAGAGTACACCAAATTAGATCAACGTCGAAATATTACAGTTTCTCGTTTGAATTATGATCGTTTATATGTTCAGTTTTTTCTATAACCAACGAGATTGTACCAAATCTTGCATACGTAAACGTAGTTGACCTACAACTCTATAAATTAGTGGTATCTATTAGCCTGTAACGCTTCTTGGTGTATTAAATCGTGTGTAGTTTCATTATCTATATATTTTATTGTCCATCCAATTTACAAAAATGTATAGAAAATTACTTGAAATTACCTAATATTATTTATTTGTTCAATAAATTTAATTTCGCATATTTGTTAAATTCCGTCTGTGTAGACGACATACAACCTTATAATCTAGCAGACAGGCCTGTTAAAAGCCGGGGATCGATTCCTCGCGGTAGAACCAGCTAATAGCCCAATGTGGCTTTTCCCTAAGACAAACAAACAAGAAATAACTCTTCTTCTGCCTTGTCTTCTGGTAAATATATTTGTATTTTCTAGAAAAAAATCTTCTCATGATAGTTTGCCCGTTATATTCTGTGCCTGTTTTTACGTTCTCTATTTGAATTACCAATATATTACCATTACAGAATCTTATCACGTGAATAACTGGACTTAGCAGAATCTTTAAACGTAATGTAATTAAGTATATTGTTCTACGGTTATACAGAAGCGTTTATGAATTGTTAAGGGT